CCAGCCAATTACGACTGAATTTATGAAAATGACTTTGAATTTCTGTTTTGTCTGAGAGGAATTGAACTCTTTCCTTTGTTCGATCTCATTTGCTTAATTGTTGTTTAATAGTGTCTGTAAATTCAGGTCCATCTAGTCTAGCCCCTTCCCATTCATATGTGCATCTCTTCATCCATATAGCCCACAACACCGCTGTTCTCCCCATGCTAAATAGATTTTCCACAAATTCCCCATCATTTCCCACTAATTCTGGGTCCAGGCTCCAGGTCTCAAGAAGAATAGCTTTCCATTCCCATGGCCAAGGAACCTGTGGGACTAAATGTGACCAGATTCGATCCCACCACCTCCAAAGCCATACTGAGCCTGGGGATTGCATAAAGATATGCTCTATAGTTTCAGGATAAGTTCGACTTGGGAAAGCTGATTTGCATAACTTACACCATCTTTCTGCTAGTCCTTTTTGTTCCAACGATGATCTGTCAATCAGCCAGTCATTGACTGGTAGACACCTATGTTCAATTTGCCATTGGAGTGAAGCAATTTTGGCTGGTTTCTCCTTGACTATTTTAAACCACCTGACAGACCTCAATTCTTCTTGTCTAACATTAAGATGTTCTCTCCATCTGATGGAAACTGCGCCTTTTAAGTTAATTCTAGGGCGAAGCATTCAGTAGGCTGATTTGACTTTGAGTGAGTGAATAGTTCTTTTGAACGATCTGTTATGCCTTCCTATTCTTGTGACCGAGCTCCAAACCCAATTAGCCGGGTCAAGAGGGAGATATGGGACAATCTGGTTTAAAGGCCACCCAAGAGTCTTTAGTTCTGATTACCCTTATTCTGTAGATCTGTTGTGTCTGAACCCAACCGGTTTCCCCTTGCCCCTTAGGAATGACTATATTAGTGGATGACAAGGAAAAATTATGTAACAGAAATCCCCCATTATGATCTTGGTCCATAATTAAACCAATTGATTCAGACTGATCCTTGAAAGCAACCCAATCATTTATCATTAATTTGGGGCCTTTCCTAAGAATACGAAACCATTCTAGAGGGATGAGTTCGATTATCCTTTCGAGTGCTTCCTTTGAATGATGACAATATCTTAGCCTTGCCYTYAGTTTAGTTGGGTCGATCCATTCATTGGTATCAATATCCCATATATCTTTTATCCTCATAATCCCATTACTAATCCATCCCTTCCAAGGAGAATGCATACAATGTAGAACAAATCCTTCGGAATCGCGAATCCATCTATTATCAAAAATACGTTGTTGACATACTTCTTCCCATCTTTCTGGCTATAATTTGTTCGTGAGGGGAAATTGTCTCCAGGTTTTCAACATAGACACCCAAAAAGGATCATTTTTCAAATCAAGTCTGACCGCTTGTCTACTCGAGGTCACAGGTGTCATAATAGGTTTGGAGCCCAAGCTATTTCAACGGACCAGACTGCACGCATTGTGGTTGATATGGAGAAGGAGATGTCATCGCACACTCCCACGCACGTGGTCCCAGACCCCCCTAACGTGGGAGAACTTTTAGAGAAGATTTGGAACTAGCATACCATACAGATTGGGCCCAGGCCAAACGTCTAATGAAAGCGGATGCGGCCAAGGAACAGGACATGAGACACAAATTCATCAAGGAAACTATGGGTATGGGCAGAATAGAGACATAACTCGGCAGCACCTGATCTTCAAATGGCCCCGAACCCCACCCGACGGCACCGTCGGCACCCTAACATCACCACAGCAGAATACCCCTCCCAACGCGAGCCCGCCCTCCCCCCTTGTCCCAGCAGGTCGACGGGCCATGACGTGGGACTTCCCGCCCCAATCGTGCACCGGTACAAAAGAAAGCAATCAGTCGGAACCCAAGGGTCTTCAGAGCAGTTTCAGCAGGCTGACGCCAGAGAAAAGGGAATCAGATGAGACATCCACAACAGAACGGACAGGTGAAGAACCTTAAGCGTCAACACGAGGACGAATGACCGACCAAGGGCACCAGATACGAGGAGTGCAATAGAGGGATGGATAACCCCAATGGACTGTGTATGGGCCAATCCCAATGGACTGCGTATGGCATGGCCAATCGAATAGGGAGTAGGCACGCTCAACG